CCACAACAGACCCTGCACTTCAGCTGGGCTGGAGATCTTTGGAAAGCCCTGCCTCCCCCCACCCTCAGCACCCCCGTTATCTAGTGTCACTGCAGGGCACTTTCATTTGTAGATGTCAGCATTTTCTGGGTTCAAGATGCTTGTTTCTGGGATCACTACAGAATCCCTGGGGTACATTGTATCCAACATTGCGCCCTCCACCTTCACTTCATCTGAAATATAGTTGTTGTGAGGGGGTCTGCGCACTGGGACTTTCGTACCATTTAGCAACCTGATTTTTAATTCGTGTCGGTATGACAGAGTGGGGTTTTGGTAGTAACTGACCTGATATGTAGAAAGTCACTGATTGCTTTTCTGCGTCCATGTGCGTGATCCTTATAGAACAGGACAAATTCTTGTTTGAGTTTTCCGTTATAACGATAGAATCTTTTATTTTAAAGAAACCACCTTCCTCTTCAGACTTTGTTTCAATGGATGCAGATAAAGGCTGCCCGTTGGGATCTCTCCACAGCACCTGGGGCTGTGGGTACCATCCGGCCGACTGACACACCACTCGGATCCCTCCGTCCTGGTGACCCTCAACAGAGATGCAAGGTGCAGAGCCTAGAGCTGGAATGAATCAGTGTTAAATGAAATGAGCCTACAGCCGAGTGTATAAACGTTCACATTTCCAATAAAATGATTGAATGCACTTTATTGCTGATGTTCATGGAAAGAGGAAATTTGACTTAATGTAACTATCATGGCCCAGAGGCTGTGGCTGTATGAAAAGCCACTGGTGGCTAAGTCTGAGAAATGCTGCTTTAAATACACTTGAGTTGAGGAAACGTTCTCTCTTCACTACTGTCCCAGCACAGACCAGATACCTGCCCTGAAGAGAACCGTGCTGGGAACAGTCATCCTAGGCCTGGCAGAAGCCTGCTGTGGATTTTCAGAGTGTGTTCAGATAATGTTTTATAGCAGAGTCAGTAGTGCACAAGTGGGAACAGTTGCAGAACGATCCCGTTTATGAAAAAGAAAAGAAAAGATAAAGTGACAAAAAAGCGAGAGGAGAGGCCTGTTTGAAGTCAGGCTGGCCCTGTGCTGTTAGGGGAGGGGCGCTAACATGGATGTGGAAGGCTAAAACTTACGTATAAATAACAAAACGGTATGAATCAGTTTGTATAAGAAAGGGAGGTTGAAGCGGTGTTGTCCATTGCTAGATGTGACAGTGATGGATCACCCAGTGTTCTTCCCACTTGTGAGTATTTGATCACTACTTGCTGAGCATTTTGCCTTAAGAGTTGTGGGTCTGGGTCTATTACCCAGCTAAAAAGAGACGACAGACCTGAGTTACTGACCTGCGACCTTCAGTTCCAGTACAGCTTCTTCCCGAAAGTCACCATCCTGAACAGAGCAGTGGTACTGGCCTTCGTCAGAGCGCCTGACATTGAGAATTCCCAAGTCAACATTCCCATCCATAATGCCGTCTGTCAAAAGCTCTGTCCTGCCGTGATACTCGGGCATCTGCTGCCCAAACTCATCCGCCCCGCGCCGGTACAGGTGCACAAAGGGAGTGAACTCACGTCGGAACCATCTCACCTCCATGTCCTGCGCGCTCATGCTGGGGGACAGGTAACAGGGTAACACGATGTGCCCCCCCAGAGTGGCCATGACAGGGCGACCAGGCCCAACCACGGTGAACTGGGCTGCAAAATGCACCAGGGCGCAGAAAAGACAAAACAAACAAACAAAAGGGGATTCAATAGACAGTTAATGAGTCAGTCACCCAAGGCTCTAAGGTGCATCTAAGGTGTGGGGGTGGGCGGGGAAGGAGGGAGGGCAAAGGGCTGAACCTTCCTCCCTGGAGATTTGTACCAGGGCTGCTGGCCCTTCCCCCTCCTGTCCCTTCCAGGGAGCGATGCCAAAGTGCGCAGCTCGTCTTCCCCTGCTCCCCAGCCAGAGTGAGGGATGCAGCCAACTGGGCACTTTCCCCTCGCTCCCTGACGAAGGGGAACAGCCGGCAAAGTCCCTGTTAAATCTGTGTTTGGGGGGAG